ATAACAATGTCTAAAACAATGCATTCACAATATTCTTTTATAAAAAGATCCCTCCCTTTCCCTATGATGTGGGATTTAACGTAAAATTTACTTCGCTGCAACATTAAATACACAAAGCTTAATGTTTATCTCTTGGAGATAGTGACATTATTTTTTAAAAATGAAGGTATAATATATTATGAAAATCATAAAGTTAAGGTCTTAAGAAAGACGTGCATTTATACAAAGTGAAAGTGAATACAAAGCTCAAAGGACTGTACCTTAAAACATGTCATTAAAATGTCTTATCTTGCCAAAAATTAAATGGTTTTGAAAATACATTTTTTCAGTGTTTAAATTTAGAAAAAGACTTCAGAAGAATTTGTAAGTAATCAAAGATCCAATTAATTTCATCATACAAAATATTGGAAGAATACTAAGATTGCAGATGGGAACACTCAACTACAAAATTAAAGTTTGCTCCTTATACAGTCATAACCATTTTTTACATATAATTTCAGCCAGTTTGGTCATATCTTTGTAATCTACTGTAACATATTATTTTGTTACCTACCTTCAACATAGGAAAAATATTAGGAAATCCTACATTTTTGATACAAGACAGAAATTTTAGGCAATTCTGAATATTTACATTATTACACATCATAAGTGTTTAGTACATACTTCTGACTGAAAACAATGTGTAGTTTAATGACTCAGAAGTGGCCATTAAGTGTTAGCTTCACTTTCAGCTAAAATGATTACCTTCTTCAAAATTAGTTAAATGAGTGATACAATTACCTGTGAAGTTAGCAAGCTGAACATACAGGCGAGCAAGTCCCATCATTTTTCAGGGTGTTTGCACGTGATGAACAGTACGTTGGTTAAGTGCCATTTAATTTTTTTTTTTTTCCATTTTGGATATGGATCCTAAATCTGATTTATGTATAGCAGTGCACAGTCTGCATCTGGATCCACACATATCTTGGAGGATGCAAAATGTATTTTAGGCTTTATTTGTTGAAGAAGAGCACTGCTTTAATCTTGTGTCATACCTCAAACACCTGCCCACAAACAGGCAGGGCTAATGTTGCACAAAGAACCTTGATGGAATAATTTCTTGATATCTTTAAACATTAGTTTTTACAATTTCAATGTTCCATTGGTGCAGTGTTTTAATGAGATTTCTGCATCTGTTTAAGGCAAAAGGTAAAAAACGGAAAATCCAAAATATAAAATGCAAAATTGGCTAGAAACCTGCTGCAATGTCCTAACACAACCTCAGAAAACAGACAGAACTGAGCTCCTTTCCAGAGCCTGCAAGAAAGGAGGCCCTTTCACATTAGCATGAGGTGCTGCAGAGATGTTACCTCTTCACAGGTCTTTCATCCACTCTGCAGAGAAAACTATGACAAGGAAAGACTTCTACTTTTCTCCACTAAAATTCAGTTTTAAGATGGACTGAACAACTCCTACTACTTGATATAATGGGATACACTACTTCTATTATAGATGTTGAAAGAGCATTGTACGTTTTAAACTTCAGGAGACACTCGTGAAGCAGCACAAAGAGGAAGCGTTTTAGCAGTCTACATGCAACAAAATTTTAGGGAGTTTATAAAAAAAATATGTGAGTAGCAGTTTCTGTTGCGGTTCTCCAATTCTCTCAATTTATCAGAAATATGATTTAAGAGAAATTTAAGTATTTGCTTAATTGCATGCACACATCTTGCTTTAGTTAGAGAGGAATTTGAGTAATCATTCCTGTTGCCTATTTTGTTTTGTACAGAAAAATATTTTCAAATTCACACACCAGGGTGGGATTATTTATCTATGAGTGGAAAATCCAGCCCTAGCCAGAGAAATGTTTGGGGTTTTTTTTTTCACTTCAGTATACACTGAAATTAACCTTTCTGGTTAAAAAAATGTAAAAAAGCATATTAGGCAAGTAAGTGAGGTGAAACTTTTGCTTCGCTCTCCACCAGAAACAACGATCCCTGCCAATAAGTTCAGAACTTGAGAGCAGACATTCTGTTGTAAGGTATCATTAGTGCCCATTCCCCGATTTTCTGCCCAAATTAGCCATTTTGGTGGCATGACAATTTCCTGCCCAACTGCCCCGCTGCTCAGGGGTTAGACACGGTTCACAGCGTACGCTAACGCTCTTTTTACACTCACGACCTCCACGTCAGAGCTGAGTATGTCAAAGTGATGCTAGAGACATTGATCGACAACAGCGTGTTTTAGGCAGGAAACTGAGCTTTGGCGTGTCAGCTGCTTCGTAACATTGCTCTGAAAAGTGAGGTGGAAGCTTTACTGATACTCACCAGGAACCAGCTGGGGCCATTCTAAGTAGTTGTTAGTGCAGTCCCCCCCTGCTCCCTCATTCTTAAAATTTCAAACAGATGTAGCTTTTACCATCAAGCACCTGAGTTTAAAATTACATACAATTAAGAAAAAAAAAGCCTTTTCCAGATGAAACAATAAACTCAGCATGTTAACTTTATACAATTACATATTTACATTGTAGTTTTTTATTCAAAGTAATAAAATCACAAGCAATTTTTTAAAAGGGAAAAAACATAATTTTCAAAGCTGTAGAATGTCCTAAAATGCTATAAATTCAGCTGAAGTCTGACAGTGCTTTAATAATTTGAGTGAGTAGTGGGTAATGACAATCTGAAAACTCAAAGGTACTTCAACTTTGCTCTAGGCTGTGTTTCCTAATCTCAATCCTAACCCAGAAAAACAGGTAAACCCTTCTTCTCCAACTGAGTTTTTTTCCATATATTTTGTGTTCCTAGCAATACCATCAACCTGTCTCTTCATGTGAAAGAATGGACACAAACACTATGCATGCAACAGCATGTCTTCAGTATTTTTTTACTGATTCCAAGCAGACAATACTGACACATAAACGTAGACATTTTCATGTGAACTAACCTTCCAGAGTTGATGTGGTTCTACCACTCTGAACTTTTTTTTAAAGCAAGTTTGTGGAGAAAAGGGAATCTGACAGAGCATCTGGCCAACACTACTTAGCATCTTCAAAGACCCAGACAAGGGTGCAGGACTCTCTCAGCAAGTTTGCACATGATACCAAACCCGGGGAAGTGGTAGACATGCTGGAGAGCAGGGCTACCTTTCAGACGGCCCTTGATAAGCCGGAACAATGGAAGTAACAGCTATCAAATGCATGAAGTTCAACAAAGCCAAAAGCAAAGTCCTGAAACTTGGACTGGGACTCAGTCCAATTCTGCAGAAAAGGACACGAGAGTGCTTGTAAAGCAGAAGTTATAAATATGAGTCAGCAGTGTACCCTTGCAGCAATAAATTACTATAATACTGGGCTGTATTAGCAAGAATCAGCCAACGGGTCAAGGGAAGCAATTAGTCTACTCAATGCTCATGAGGCCACATCCGGAACACACTGTTCAGTTTTGAACACTCCAGTTCATGAGATGGATGGATATGCTGGAGGAAGGCCACTAATCTGGCCAGGGAGTTGGAGCACAACAGATGAGGAGAGACTGAGAGTGTCGCACTGTTTCAGAAGTGAAGGCTGGGGGAAAATTTAACTGCCATCTTAACTTACATATGAGTGAGTTAGAGAGAAGACTTAAGTACACAGCAAAAGGACAGAAGGCAATGGTCACGAGCTACAGCAAGGGAAATCCCAACTAGGGATAAGAAAAAATATTTTAGTGAGGGTGATTAGGCACTGGCACAGGTTGTCAAAAAAAACCCTGTTGTATCACCATCCTTAGAAATTTTCAGATCTTGCCTAGACAAGGAAGTGATCCAGCTCTGACGGTAGCCCTGCCTTCAGAGGTTGTCTGGAGGTCCTTTCAACTTAATTTACTCTATGAGTCTATGACCATTAATGAAAAAGTTAAAAGCATATCTTACTCTAGCTAACTATAATGTTTTCAAAGGACTGAGTGCCCTTCCACTATTTCTTTAGTGGCTTACCACTTAAAGACATATTAAGTACTTTTATAAAGTTGCTGAAACTACTCATCTTATTTAAGAATTTGCAGAATTGGAGATTTACCTTATATACTTTGTATTGATCTAAATGCATTCTTCTGAATTTTTCCAGTTTAGAGCTGCATGGTATCAAGCCTCTCCTGCAACTTTAAAGGGAATGCTATTTTTAAACGCTTAAACGTTGGCCAGAGTTACTTTATGGAACATAATATTTTAAAACATATGTATATATTGCACATTTAAAACTGTATCTCCATCTCAAAATCTATAAAGTTAACAAAACATACACACACACGCACATGCAACACATGAAGAAAAGCTTCCCTCAGACAGACACAAATCCTCATTTTGGTACAACTACATACAGGCCATAAACAAAACCTTATACAGCGTACACAAAAGTTCTGTGTATACAGTAAGGCAGGCATATGAAGTGGAAAAAAGTCCATCATTACTTAGTATGTTACATTAAAAAGACAGCTAAACAGATAAAATTAGCATTTACTCTCTAAAGCAATTGCCTCAAGTTGTACATGGGTTATTTCAGCTCCGAATCAGAGCCCATCTTTACTTTAAAAAGAGAAAAGGCATTGTCAATACAATCTGATGAGAGAGCAAAAGTTTTTCTCTCTGAAATCATAGTACTACGGTCTTTATTATCTGTAACACAGAAAATTTAGCCATCTCTTCACTTTGATGGAGTAAGATGTCAGAAAGTTACTTGTCCATATCAACATTTCCTTCTTGTATATTTGAACGTTTACACACCGTATACTTAGTGAGTAAGAATACAGACATATGACCTCCAACATTTTTTTCTCAAGTATCTTTTAAAGGTCCCAGAGCTTCATTTGACAAAGCTATCTAAGATGCAAAGGATCAGCCCAGTTTTCTTTCATACCAGTTTCACAAACTTTTGCTACAAATGCAACTTCAGTACATTAAATACCAATTAGCTTTATCAAGATAAACCCAGGATAAAGCTCATTGTGCTTTGTTTTCTAGGTGTTTAGTTCACACAAATGAAGAGCAAACATACAGGACTTTCCAAAGTTCACACGTGTGTACAGTTGGTAGATGGCGGTGTATCTATCCGACTTTTATTTTCCTTAGCGTCATTCAGAGGTGACTCGTTACCTATCTGGCATTTGAAGACTTGTTTGTAGGCCTTCCTAAAATTTTCAGAGAGAAATGCGTATATAATCGGGTTCACAGAAGAATTGCTGTAAGCCAGGCAGTGTGCAGTTACTCTGAAGAGAAAGGAGGCTTGAGTCAGTGGGAAGACTCCAAATTCAGCCCAGAGATGAATCACGTGATGCGGCAGCCAGGAGATGCCAAAAACCACTACCACCACCAACACAGTCTGTGCTGTCTGAGACAGGGAAAGGAAAACACAGATGTCTGATGAGCAGTTGAAGAATCAGTTTTAAAACCACTTCAAAACCATTATTTGGGGGAAAAAAAGGTACACTGAGAGGGAACACACTTTGGAATATTTCTTAGCGATTTTACTCCATTACCTATATGGGCTTTATTTTGCATAGTGAACTACTGCGAGGAGAACCTTAGCCTTGAAAACACCACAGTAAAAGGCAAATGTACAACTGTGCTCGAAGGTGAAGAATAATGTTCCTGATTCCCTACAGAAAAGCCTAGCCTTTTCTGAGGTGGACATAAGCTTGATGTAAAATAATGATAACATGGGTCTTTGGGAAATTTCATCCAGATATAATGATCTATATTTTAGTACACTACACAAGGATTTCTGATCAAAATTTCAGGAGAGGTCTACTACACATGAAGGCAGCTAGTAGAAGATCTTAGAACAGTCAGACGAACACTTTGCTCATACACAAAAGCCTAGCCTTTTCTGAGGTGGACATAAGCTTGATGTAAAATAATGATAACATGGGTCTTTGGGAAATTTCATCCAGATATAATGATCTATATTTTAGTACACTACACAAGGATTTCTGATCAAAATTTCAGGAGAGGTCTACTACACATGAAGGCAGCTAGTAGAAGATCTTAGAACAGTCAGACGAACACTTTGCTCAAGTGCCTACGAAAGGAGCAGGGTCTTTTTTGAAAGTCTCTACTTTAAACATAAAATTTCCACAGAGACAGTCATACAACATTCTGGGATACAACTAGGGAAAAAAAGAGAAAAGTAAGGAGCTTGAAATCTCTGGTGATTGCACATTGTCAAAACCAATCTGGAAATTAAAGCTCACCACCAAACACTGAATTCAGAAAAATGGAAAACAAAATATCCTCAGTGCTGTGTCCTGACTCCACTTTCATTATTTATGAGAGGAAGGGCCATCAAGTTCATTAGATCCATCCAGACACCTACAGTATCAGTCAGTACAGCCCTCTCAGGTGCCGAAGGTATTCTGCCAGGGCACAGTAGAGTTTGACTGTCAATGTTTTCTTTAGCTTTCCCTTACTTCAGAAACAGCAGTTAGTGCTTGCAGTTGCTCAACTAATTAGTATCTGCTCCTCTAACAAGTACCTCTTTAAATCACTCTCCCAATAAAAGTGTAATATTAATTCCAAAGCATATTATATTATGGACCATTATAATTACTATATTAACACTTTACAACATAATTTTTCAGATAACTTAGGCTCTTCTTCACAGGCAAAACTAATCCAGTGGCCACACAGTGATAAATAATGCAACACAGAGAATACCTAGACTTTTTGCTAGTTTATTGAACTTGGTCTATACTTCTTGAATTGATTAATGCTCGGTCATAATTTAGACTGACCTACCTAATCACAGCATAACTTACAGAAACTTACAGAAAAAAAGGTTTGATTTCTGTGGCAACAGGCCAAAGTAACTTGACACATACTGTTGTTGGTTAGCAAAATCTCACAATAGAAGCCAAAGGACATCATATCTGTAGCAAATACAATTTGTTTAGTCTCCAGGATTCATCCGTTTTCACAAGCCATTCCTCTACTTAGCCCTATGGAGTTTAAGTCAGTTGCCACTAACAAACAGCCACACAAAAGTTTTCTCTTTCTGGTCTCATCAGGAGAATATCTGCTAACAAGGAAGTATAAATTAAGAGCAGGCCATTCTCTGATCCCTTCAATGTCTTAATATTCCAACTGAAAACAGATTGCCTGGATACCACATGCACCATTATTTGAAAAGAAGATATTACTTCAGTTTGTTCAAAATTCTAAAAAAAAATTACACGAGGAAAATCACTGACTTTCAATTGACTGTGCAGATGCACCTGAAAGCAGAGGTTGACCATATGTCTCTTGTAACTACTTTAAGTAAAATATTTCATATCTGCAGAATAAGTAATTTTGCATTAGGAAACCTCGCAACATCTGGTTTATCCCATTATTCCTCCTAAGCTTAACTTCAGAGCTTACCGTTCCAAAATTATCACTATGCCTTGCAACCAAGGTAACACTAAAAGGCAGCTTTTGTTTACCTAATGGGAGCTTGCTTAGGGTTTCTCTTTAGCAAATAAAAACCACCTGAAATACATGATGTTAATATCAATGCTTTGTAACCAAAAAGCACAAAAAATAGCATTTAGGCACATTCATATTTTTCATTAACTTTTTTCCACACATATAGCAAATTAATTTTAAGATTCTGCTACTGAAATTTTCATAAAGGTTTGAATAAAGCTAGAAATTTATAATTAAGCCTGAAATGCATTCTTAACAAAACAGCAGAAGGAAAAGAAGAAAGATACAGTAACCAGAGAGAGACAGCACACTAGTGAAAACAGAGTTGCTTTGGAAAAGGTGAGTTAGGCCTTAGGATCAGAAACTTAGTTTCTAAGGCAAAAAAAAAATGTTTGGGGCTGTTTTTTTTTTTGGTTTTTTTTTTTTGTGCTTTGGTTACCAAACCTTCATATGTCCAAGCAGTCTTGGGCATATCTGTAACGCTTTTCCCTGAAGCTATGAAAGCTAGTTCCTAGCCAGATCTGATTTTCACTTGCAATTTTTAAGAGTTAGTGTTTAGAGAAAATGCACAGATATTTCCAGTTTGAGAATAAATTAGGTAAGAGTAGAGATGGTAATGTACAGAACACCTTTGAAAACTACACTTTCGGCCTTGACAACATTAAGTGCAAAAGTATATACGTTAAGCATTTTACGGAATCGGGGCCACAATGCTTTTAATTCTAGGAATTAAAATCTATTGACTAGGATATTTTTCAAAAAAATAGAGAATGCATAAATAATAGATTACTTATTCCCTGTTGAGCCCATGTATAGCTCATTTACATTGCAGACAGTCTGCATGCCCATATGGTAACAGTGATCAGATCAAATGAAGAGCTCTAGCCTAAGGGGTTTTTCTGACTCCACATTCATAAACTGAGAAGTTAGTCAAATGATTACTGTGGTCAAATCTGCTCAAAAATCACAACCATATTATATTAACTGACAAATTCAAAATATAAACACATCTTTCAAATATTGTTCTAAATCGCAAAGCTTATATTCTTCTTTAAAGGCCTTTCATGATTCTACTTGTAACCAGTGTATCACTTAAGTCTTGAACATAAGAGGGAAAAAAAAAAAAAAGGTTTACAAGTTAGGGAAAAATACCTGTGAGGCAAAAAAACCCCATTTAATATTAGACATGGGTTGTCTCTCCATGTCTAAATTTCAGCTGCTCTGAAGTTCAAAATATGGGGATGTCAGGTAATGGCTTGATGCACTGCAATGGAAAACTTGGATCAGAAAAGATTCCAATCCTGCTAAGTTCAGAGAGACGCTGAATACGTCATTAAATACTTCATTTCAATTCCTTCTCTCTATTACATCTTTGGCAACAAGCAATATAATACCAAATTAGCTTAGCCATAAAACTAAAATGTAAACAAATAGATATTGGTAATGAAAGCAATCTACCTTTTTCTTGGACGCTTCTGACTTCTTTGACATGTTTCTCAACTTTTTATGCAGATGATTAAGAACCTGAAAAGATTAATTTGCATCTTGTATTTCACCATTTTCTAAAATTCAAATCCACATATTTTAGAGTATGCTCTCCAGTACTGCATGAGTCGCTTACAAACATCACAGATCCAATCTACACATTTCAAAAGTACACAGTATAAAATCCAAAGGAATTACATATTTGCATCTGTGTGAATCAACAAATATAAAGCCGACCACAAATGAATTCTTACATAAAAATTCAGATGTATTACATAACAAACACATATTACAAATGAACAAGGCAACAAATGGAAACCTATCATGCACCTAGAATTAGGAATCATTCTTCTTCCACAAAAATGTCAATGCTTGTTAATTTAGAATGACCTTTACTGCATGTAACATAAAAAGTGTACGTTTTGAGTCAGAGCTTTTCTGAGTCACCTTCATAATTTGCTTTCTTCAGATGGATGTTTAGTTAATATAATCAGGATGATGGCGCTATTTGATCTTCAAGAGAAGCCTAGGATTTCAAAAATAATTTATACTAAACTGTATTTCACATGAGGCATGACCTTTATCAACAATTTGATGATACTTGTCATGTACCTTTCACAAGTAATTTTTAAAAATATGTCTCAAAAAGGCTCATCATCCAAGAGCAGCATCCAAATTCTAACATAATGATTTACATGTAAGACTTTGGATAGTGGATGCAGAGAGACGCCCTACTTTATCTGCAGTCATTATTAACTGAATCTAATATATTCATGGGGCATGACTTGTAGGCATGAGGGGCAGGGAATATGCTCTTCAGCTGAATGTGTTTAACAAGTTGTAAACCATACAGAATTAAAAAGAGGAGATGCTTAATTAAACTCGAGGGTTTAATTAAAATATGGTAAGAGGAATTTTTTAAAGTGAGTGTCAGAATGTAGAGCTCAGTTAGATGATGATGATGTTAGGTTGCACTGTATATAGCTCTAAGATGAACTGAGAACAATTTAATAGGTAAGATCATCCAGAATTAAAAGGATTTTTTTTTTTTAAGGAATATAACACTAAATTTTAGGGCTTATAAGGAGACTTCTTGAGGTGGGGAAAAGGGTATAAATTCAAATTCTCTTATACGATCTGGGGACGTTTTCTCTGTTTTCTTTGGGATGCATGGATAACCACTACCAGGACAGACACCAGACAGGATGACCCATAGACTTGATCCCACTCTGACATGTGAGTCTTAGAAACATAAATAATTAATTAAAAGAAATAAGACGGTATTTGTGAATAACCATAGCTCATCAGAGGATTCCACTTTTTAAGTATCTACTCTTAGCTACCAGTGAACCACAACAATAAACATAAAAATTACTTGCAACCACTTAACATTGGAAGCACAGTTCATTTGTGCTTATCTGGGCACTAACATGTTTGTGCATGATAGACAGCCCTGCATGTTCTCCCTATTCTGAAACACTAGCCAGGTGGCTACCAAGGCTAACCTGAGCTCAGGAAAGGCAGGAGAAAAATAAATGGGTTTTCTCTGAGAAGGTCTGGTTTTGGCTTCAGCCCTTCTTCCTTCTCCAGGATGACTCAACTAGAAGGAAAGGACAAAAGAGTCCCTGAGGTCCAGCAGAAAACCAGGGAGATGATCCTCTGGCTCACACACTCTTTATGAGTGTGAAAAATGTGAAAAATGTGAAAACAACAAAAAAATCTAAAAGCAAAAAAGAGCATGGGAGAAATACAGTGAAGTTCACTTCCCATCACTGCTGCTTCACCTATTGTACCCCCTTCACATAACCTACAACGATGGGCTGTTTCTACTGGACCTTTGCAAATCCCATCACCTGCCACCCAGAGACTGTACTGTACTGTGATATTCCCTCACAGCCCAAAACTAAAGTCAGATAAACTCCTCCCAGAAATCAGAACTGCAAAATCTTCTTGTAAAGTTACAAACATTTTTTTCCTTTGTTCTGAAACTTTTAGCACAAATTTTTGCATTGCATCTCTCTCCAGTCCAATGAAAGATGCAGTAGACAAAGCTGTTAAATTGGATATTGGGAGCAAGGGGAGGTGCTGAAGATTTAGATGATAACCTTCCGATGAATCCTTCTCAACTTCCTCTCTTTCAGATTATATACATATTTCATAAAATAAATCTCTGCAGTGAAAACATGCTGGCTCTACGTGGTAATGTAACAGATGGTATGCAAACCAGCAGCAAGAGAAATAGGAGGAATTTAATTACCTATCAACAGCAGTGGAACAGCACTCAGAGACCTATACAGAACGCCGTGGAGGGATATTAAAAGCCATGTTTATGCAAAAACACTACAAGGCAAATTAAAGACACCTCTCCTCACTGCCCTGTTCAAATTATCTCTTCTCTGGGCCACTGAATAATCAATTGTTCCTCTTACAGCCACTGTCACTTCACCTGAATGAATAATAATTCTCCATGTGCCTCTCATTTTGACTCAGGTTATTTCTCTAAGGAAAGTCTTTCAAAATATCCACTAATAAATTTACACATGCATTTTTAACTCACAGAATGAAATACTCAACTTGCTAAAAAATAGGTCACAACCTTTTCCAATAAGATGTTACATTTTTAAAAAGTTCAGCTCTGTGGAAAAATTAACTCTTTACATGAAACTTTTCTAACTCCAGCTTTCATGTACCCATTGATCAGAGAGCATATTTGGCTCTCGGGGAAGGAATAGCTTTCCTTTTTTTTCTGGAGATGATGGTGGGATGCTGTGGGAAGTTATGCTTTTGTGAAAGAGGGTGTAAGGAGACTTGTAGGATCATAGAAGTATAAGAAGGTCCAGGCTGGTCCAGACTGTACTACCACAACTACCACTGATGGCATTTGGGAGGCCCTGGTTTTGCCTACAGACTATCCATTTCTTAATTTTTTCTTTTGCAGTTGTTTCAGGGACTACCTCCAGATGGTTTGAGGGTCCAGGCTGAGGGACTATGACCAAATCAAATTGAAAAAGGGATTTTTCCAATAAGGGAGAGAGTAAAAAATTGCTTAAACTATCTGTGCCTATTCGTTTATGTCTACCAAACAACATGAAAGTTTGACATCTACACTTGTTGCAAAGCATATTTTCCTGTCTGGCTGCCTATAACCATTCCACTGACTACAGCTTCAGTATCAGTCACTGAAAATCATGCAGCAGGAAAGCCTGCCCAAGGTCATTACCTAATAAGAATGAACTGCTTGTTTAACAGAGCCATCATGCGAGCATTGCATTCTGAACCATATTTTATAGTATGAACCAGATTTAAATTTGAGTGCCATTGCCCGCAATCCATTTTTTAAAGTAATGCTGCTACTTCTATTGTCACAACAGATACTTCACCCTCTTTCGTTTAATCGTGTGTCGGTAAAGTATCATACCCTTTATTTTTTCTTTTCAGTGTAGTTTAATAAAGTTTTCCCTCGCCGCTCAGCAAAATTTAAGATATAATATCTTAAGCCAAGAACCATATAAGCTTAGATTTTATGTCAAGGCTCCTGCTTTTTATGGCTTACTTTTAACCAAGTCTATAAATCATACATGTCTTCCATGAATTCAGAATGTTCAGAATGATAGATAATAATGGAAACATTCTTAAGGCAAGAAACATTTTTTTAAAAAAATGCTTTTAACATTATACATCTATAAAAGGAAAAGTTTGCTGATGATTTTAGGTGTCCAACCTAAAGGTTTGATTGAAGGAGGTCTGACTTTCAAGGACTGAAGCCTCATAATTGGGTACTCAAAAGCAGAGGCACCCAAAATCAGTTGTCACATTGCACTACCCCGGCAGATGTCAACTGTTAGAAGCTCACTGGGAATCATTTATCACTTTGCCCTTTAAGAACGCATTAGTGAGGAAACGTTGTAGCAATGTTACAAAACACATACAAAAAGTCAGTTATAAAAAAATATGATAAGTAATATGATAAGCAATAAGAAACTAAGAATACAGGCTGTCTAGAAGTATGTAGCACTGTAACTCAACTAATAACTATATATTCACGGCTCCTATGGCTGCAGTAGTAAGCTCCTTTCTTAGAGTAGTTCTGTGATTCAACAAAAGCTGGTTTCCTATGGATTTGTGATTTCTTGACGGCGTGTTCCCAAAAAGACGTGTCGCCTCCATAAGTAGAAGCTACAAAAGACCTCTTCCCCCATGGCTTGTCTGATGTTTAACAGCTGAGTGCAAACTGACTCCCTAAAGGAGAGAGAAGACGGAGACTCTCCACCTTCTTCATTGACTCCTGTTTTCACAAAACTAGGGAAATATCATTCCTTCTGATATTTTCGCTCCTCTATCAAATTTGGTTGAAACTGGCCCAAAGTTATTTGTGGGAGAGAGGAAACGGGTAGCTGTACGCACAGGGGACAGAGCACGATCTCATAAATCTCTGCCTTAAGAGCACATCACCTGAGATTTCCAGTTCTGATTTTGTGGGAGGACGTTGTTTCCAAATACCTAGCACTATTTCAGCACTTCCGTAGGTTGTAACAGTCTTGCTGTCCACTGGGGAAAATACACATCTCCCCTAACGTAATTTAAGAAAGAGTGAGAGAGAGAGAAAGAACACCCTATTAGGATGCCTAAAAAATGAGACTTTCAAAACTGAAAGTTCCAATTGCAATTTGCTTATAAGAGAAACAGAACTGCCTTAAAGGAGTCTGGAAAAGGCAATATATTCAAATAGAGAAATGAATCTCCTTTGTCTTAATTTACTGTATCAGAAGATTGTGTTATTTAGCTCATCCACAGTTCATGAAAATCAGCAAAGTCCATAACAAACTACTGCCTTTATTTTTATAATATTTCTGAGGCTACTACACAGCAGCGATCCTCTAACCCTGTGTGCATTCAGAAGCCAAAACACTTGTTGTACTTCATAGGGCTCTAGTGACATCAATAAAAGCTTGCAGTGACCACTCTGCCGGAGACCTGTGAGAGTAGCAACGGCTTTGATGAATCCAAAACTTCAGCTCTGATTTTCAACTCCTATCATCCTTAATTTCTCCTCACTCTGCCCCACGTGCCAAAATATTGCAGCTGGAGATTTGCCAGTGGCCTCTAATGAGGGCAGGAAAGAGCCTTGATGCTGCAGGGCACAAATACCTCGAATAGCCTTGTACAAGTCACGGCATTTTTCAGCTTCATTGACACTGATGGGAATGCCACGTATCTCCTAGGTGTCTCCTAGAACTCATCCCTTCAGGTTGGGTCCTCCAGCCTGACACCATGGCAAGCAGCATCGTACATACAGGCTCAAAATACATCACCAAGCAAGAGTGAGATCCCAGCTTTGGCAATAATTTAAGCACGAGATTTTAGTTGTAACTTGGAGTGGCCTTGGTTTTATTAACTTGTTCTGGGCATGCATTTCACATAGAGCTGTTTTGTTGTTTGCAGTTTTGTTTTTTGTTTTTTTTTTTTTAAACGACATATTCATACTAATATTGAGATACCTACTTCCGTAGTGGTGCTTTGTAACAACATAGTGTGTTATATTTACTATGCTTATATTTTGTTTAAGCATATTTCCTTCCCCCCCCCCACTATGCAGGACTGTTATAATTTTGAAAGACTTGTTTTCAATCTTCTGTCATATAATTAGGCTTTGAAGGCTGGTACTTTATACTGAAACTGAAGATGCTTTGGCTTTGAAAAACACAAGTAAGAACTCTTAATAGCCGAAAAGCTCCCTCTGCACACATTTGGTAACAGTCTCCCTGAAATATGTAATGCTTTCTTAAAACTCTGATGAGCTATGGCTACAGCAAGTTTCATCCCTCTCACAGCTCAGTCATATTCACCACTGTAGATGAAATACCAGTGTATTCACCCAGGGAAAACAGAATTCAGTTTATATATGAAAACATGTATTTCTTCTCCATTTGCCAGGTCGGACTTGTTTCATTACAGGCAGTAATTTAGAAATTTTGTCGTTCGAGTTCTGCGTAACTCAGTTTTAGCAGAGTTGGATGCCATTCTGTCCTTAATTGGCACATCACAATTAAGCTGATGTAATACATATAAAACTGAACAGAATATAAAATTATCTGTTCGAATTGAATACATCAATTACATCTGTTTAACTTGTCAGTTAAAGAACTGACTTCTCGACACTTAGGCAGTCCTTATTTGCAAGAGCAGACCTATCCTCTCAAAGGTAAATTACCACCTAAAGAGAAATCCTGCTACTGAAGGTCGCTGGCACAGCAACAGGAGGATCTCTGCCTAACTCAGCAGGCAGCGGCCGGTGCTCCAGACCCTGTCCAGCAGCAAGCGGTGGACCCTACGCTGAAGGCTGCAATTAATATTCACAGAAAAATGTGACAATTTGCCTGAGCAGAAAAGTCCTTAAGTACCATTATTCAGGCACCCTTACTTATTGCTTTTTCCTACCCGGGTCCTCCGGCGCTGCTGCCTAGCACCACCTGCCCTTGCTGAAGTCAAAGGTAAATCTCCCCTCCGCTTCCACTGGCCAAGAGAGAGCTCACGGGAACCAGGCAGCACGATGCACCTTTTGCTCTTAACATGTTAGCTAGATCAGACCAAACTGGTGGATTTGTGTCATTTTTAAGTGCACTGCATGTTAAAGAACTGCAATTCCTTCGTCTGAAGCCTGAACAACTTGTTGTTTTGTTGTACTTTCTTTGAGTTAAACTCCTCATACAGCACTGCAGGAAAATAGGAGAGTTGTGTTGACAGAGAAAGCAGCAGAGCACTGGGGCTTCTCAAGCACTTTGCAACAAGGAAATCTGGCAGAGGGGACCCCAGTAATTGCCGGAACAAACCTCCCTCCCCACCCCGTGCAATCCCTGCCCTCATCTGTCTGTGCCACACACACACGTGTCCCCCCCAGTCATTCCTTGCGTGTAAAACCTGCCCTCTCCCTTTGTACCACCAACTCACCCCTGCGCCACTGCCTCCCGACAGCGCCATGTCCCTCCACGTGCCCAGGGATGTCCCCACAGCTCAAGGACACCCTCCACCATTGTCCCCCCCATGCCTTTTACATACCCTTCACCACACCCGCTTTGCCCCACCTTGGCATAGCAGAAGGAGATGAGCAGCAGCGGGAGCAGGTAGCCAAAGACAAACGTGCAAACCACGTAGACCTTCTTGTGGCGTGGGTTGGGCCAGTGCTCCCAGCAAAAGGTCTGGTTGCTGGCCTCGCGGTGGAAGAGGCGCTGGTGGTGAGCCACCGGTGAGGCCATGGCAAAGGAGAGCGCCCAGATGAGCCCCACGCCCAGCAGCGCGTTGCGGGAAACACGCAAGGCTGAGGAGCGTCGGGAGTGCACGATGGCCACGTAGCGGTCCACCGACATGGCCGAGAGCGTGAAGATGCTCACCAGCATGGAGACGGTGAAGAAGTAGTGGATGAACTTGCAGATGAAGGCGCCCAGCACCCAGGTGGGGAGCATGTAGACCGTGGACTGGAAAGGGATGCAGAAAAGCAGGTAGGCCAGGTCGGCGATGCTCAGGTTGAGGATGAAGATGTTGGTGGTGCTGCGGCGCTTGCCTGGCTTGCTCCTCGCCAGCACCGTGATCACCAGCGAGTTGCCCAGCACCCCCAGGGTGAAGATCAAGCCGAAGACGATCAAGGTGATGAAGTTGTCGATGCCGATGCCGAAGAGGGGCTTCCCCTCCGCCTCCGGCAGCCCGGAGAGGTTGAACTCCCCGCGGGGCGGCTCTGCCCCAGCTCGGGACCGGTTGAGG